TGCTTGACAGGCTGACCAAGAAAGATTTCCAGGGATGCTTCCAGGCTTGGCAGCGGCGCTGGGATCGTTGTGTTCACTCCCAGGGGAACTACTTCGAGGGTGATGGATGAATTTAATACCTGAGATAAGTGTACGGGTTTTTATAGGCGCAGTCTTGATACTTTCCGATCGCACCTCGTACAAGGAAGCGGTGGTTTCCCTTCGGAATACGATGATGAAATAAACCACAGGGCCATAAAGTTTATCAAAAGAACCTCAACAGGATTGCTGTGCTTCTATCTGGAGCACAGTTGATGACAGTGGCATTAGAATGCTCTCGTTCTGTGAAATTTCCTCTTTAGATAAGAGACGGACATTTCTAGATTACTTAATTAAATCCGTACTTCCCCAGGGCTGACATATTGAAGTGTAAGAAATGCAGTTTCTCGGTTCAAGGACTGATGATCTCTCCAAGACCATTAATTCATCATCACTTACACTTTTTAATTTAGCGTACTTATTTGTTGATAGCAAGGGAGAGATATGAGAATATCCGAATCAAACTGAAAGACGCTATATTTTATTAAGCCGTAAGAAATTAATCTTCGTTTTAAAAGAGTTAATGTATATAAAATATACAAAACTTTCGGAATTAGTTACAGCGACTCGGTTTAATTATTTATTGGTACAGCGTAAAAATTTTGATAGATTGTTTAGACTGCCATTTCACACTTTTGAGAACTCTGTAAATGACCGACAGAGGACTATACAAGAGTCCGATCTAGGTAGCAAATTATTGTAATGATTCTTCGGAGACCCATTAAGTATTACCGCGTCAATTATTTTTCAAACTTGTAATTTTCTCGTAATGAGAGCAAATTACTCGTTCATACACTTTAATGTAGTGTACTGAACCAAGCCTGATCTAATACTAAGCTCTTTATTTTGTTTGAGTCTGGACCATCGAAAATGTTTGAGGATATCTGTGACGCAAGTGTTCTTTCATTATTATGTAAATAATTTATCTAAAACATATTTCTAAATATTTAAAATAAAACAAATTAGATATAATAATTTGAATATTTGACATTGTGCTCAATAAATAAGTTCCAAAAATAAATTCAAGAAATAATATAACGGCATTTAAAATTATTTTATTATAATTAAACGTTTCTTCTTTCATAATGTTTTATTACGTTGTAAATACACGCGAATATTAATATTATTCAGTGATAATTATTCGTTCCTAGTACCGAGACTTGACGTCGATAGAAGACGTCTTTGCAGTACGACGCACGGGTAATTTCAAGTGGCCTGCAATTAGTCTTCTCCCTGATCTTGTAGCACTGCCTGCAGTTCCCTCAGGATCAAAGAGGTACGCAAGCTGTCTTCAGCATGCCACGGTTGCAACCCTTAGAGAGCGATCCCCACCCCATGTATTCACCATCTGACTTATACCCTTCACCTAAACCTAATCATAAATCGACTACAATCTTTTTTTCTATGACAGTTGACTGCCGTAATTTCGAACTGAAATGTTCTTAAGAAAGTCGCTCATTGTCTCTTGGTCGATGTACACGTCGAATCTTGGTCGATTTCAAAATCTATGGATACATTCAGCATGAGAGACGGAAATAAAGCATTGTCATTATACTTTTCTGGCATGTTGTGACAGACAGTGACAAAAGGCTCCATACCGGTAATATGTTTTCTGTAGCGCGTCTGTATTTTTCTTTTTTGCCTAGTGAATGTCGCATCCGAGTGAATAGTAATCCATCGTTGTATTCGGGAGATCCCGGGATCTAATCTTGGCACGGATACCGGCCATCATGTTTCATGGCTCTCCTTAGTCCACACAGACAAATGCATTTCCTTAAATTAGACCACAAAAGTTTCTTTACATGTCGTTTTAGATTCATTATATCATCCTACGCTGTACAGTGAGCTACTGATAGCGTCGTTATGTAAATCACAAATAAATAAACTGATGCCTAGCTTCGCTAACCTGCATTACTTTCCACACTCATGTGTTCCAGTTTTCTGCTCTCTGGACATGTTATTGTAAAGTGTTACAGAATTTCTGCTTTGTTTAAAATTCAGATGCATTAGGGTGATGATAAACGAAGCGTTATCACAGTTCTTAGAATTATCTGGTTCCTCATACCAATACATCTGAGGGACACAATTTTGTCACACTACAAATTCTGTTTATAGAAAGACAACTATCAGTAAAGTGCGACCCTAGAATCAATTTAACCTTCGTCGGAAAACTCATATATACCACGTCGTGAAATGTATGGATAAATTAGTGTGATAGGAGCTGTTGTTCTTTTGTTGGGGATTCTTAGAGAATTTTTCTAATTAATCGTCTCCGAACGAAGCTGTGCTGTTGTTGATAAAGGCAAACAAAATACGGAGATAGGGATAAGCTCTATCTAGTGGACCCAACTGAGTAGGCACCTGAATACGGAGATAGGGCCCCATCTCCGAAACGTCGTTTTACGTTTTATATTTTATTTACCATACGATGGCAAATATCCAACAAAATTTTTATTCAAACAAAACACTGTTCTAGGAGTTGTTTACATTTAGCGACTGAGTATCGAGTGCATGTATGTCTGTAAATAAACTTACGTATTTTTTATATTTGCGTGTTTTTCTTTAGTTTTTGTTGTTTGTCCGGGTTTTAGATTACCAAGGAAATTATATTTCCAACCGAACCCGGATAATCGGGAGTCTGTTGCACCATAAAGAGCGTAGCGCACTACGATGATACGTGTAAGCTACACTTGATTGGAAAACATGTATCTAATCTGTTTCTATAAATACACCTTTCCATTCTTGTTATATAAATATTGAGCTTGGCTGGTGTTAATAATAGTTAGACCAAGAAACAAAACAAAATATTAAAATACAGATCACTAATTTCAACCTCTAAAATCTAACGGTAAATCAGGCCACAGGCTTTATAAAAAAAGTTTTTGGATCACACGGAAGACCGAAATTCTTATTCTTCATCTTCCCGTGTAGACATCTATGGACTCCTTTATTCTCGGCCGGTAATGTTTCTAAGAATACAACACGAAGAAAGCAGAAATAGAATAATATCTAGTCATACCAACCTCATATTGTGTAGAATGACGAAGTAGAATTCATAGAATATTTCAGACGACGTCTAGAATGTCACCCATGACATGACTTTCTGATTGAGTCGTGGAAGTGTGGGTGACCTCAGAATTTCCCTATGGGTTGGTCTCCCAACGACTGTGGCTTTGTGCGTCCTACAAGCTATCATTTTCTATAATTGAATTCCTTTATTAGAAATTTTGCCAACAGCAAAAAGCATATGGCAGGCAAACAACTAATAAATATACGTTAAACAAAACAAAACAAAACTACATTCATATATTCAATCTAAACACTTCTGCGTATCACAAAATTATACTCGAAAGAGACAATCCTTTTTGCCAAACATGTCTAAGCATTAACGGAGGTAGCAACGACAACATTAAGAGATTCGGCTTCTTAAAATTTTCTGAGAATAATTTTGAAAGAAAATGGAATGAAGTAATGAAACTTGAAGTTCTTCGTTCTTATGTTTTCCCTTCTCTCCACATTCCTCTTCATCTTGTTTCTGTTATTTCACTTTTACGTTTTTTAGTATCTTGCATCCTGCTACAATTAATCTTATCAATGATTATTTCATTATCCTAATAAATGGCGTATTCCAGGTGGAGGTTTATGACAATTGTTTATAATTTCAGTTTACACTGTCTCCAGTTTATTGTTACTATTATCATTCCTAATTAGAGTTGCTGAGAATTAATTTAGTATTGTCGTTCCCCGTGTTCTTTGTTTGTTTATCCCAGGAATGTAATTTGTCACTTTTAGAACAGATAACTTACCTGCTAAGCTAAACTTCAGTAGTCTTCAGATGATTGAAAGATACTCAGTTTGAAAAGTTGTAATTCTCTCTCAGATCAAAATGTTTTGTGGCGAATTAATTTCCTATGATACAGCGTGCTATAATGGAGACTTGACGGCGATAAAAAATACATAAGCTCATGAGTTCTGAAGGCATAAAAAGGCTAGTCTGTGTTTCTGGCATGTAGCTGGAGATTTTGGATAAAGATATGAAGTTAAAGAAGAATAATGGGGTTATACACCCTCGTGGTGTCAGTATGAAAGTGTTTGGCTTTCGTCAGACTCGCACCTGTTGTATAGGTGTGTACGTTGAACTTCAAATAAAGGTGACAAAATGTAGGTGGCAGATGTTAGCAAGAATGGGGGAAGCTCTTTCAGTGGTGCGTATTGCTGGAAGTGTATTGTTTGCCACGCTTGTAAAACAAAAGAGATTCTAATCAACAAAAACATACATATC